AAGTAGGCTATCAAGGAAACATTATTTAACTTTCCCCCAGGACAAACTTCACTTCACTGGTTGGGTTTTTATTGGCGGTCAAGCTGTCGATCCTGGCTACACAGGAGTTGCAGTGGTGGGAACGAGAGGTGGGAATAGTCCCGTATCAAGGATACCTACATCCCATTTTCGCAGTATTTTGGCAGGATCCCGTTTAGACGTGTTTTTTACACGAACATCCCGTTTGCAGGGTCACGTAAAAAACCGATCTGTTCGAATTTGGAATATTGATTTCAAACATACACTTTTGGTGCTTGTGTTCACACCACAGTTCAATTTTGCGAAATCCTGCATTACCTATTACCTACCTGGATCCAGTAAAACTGTAATGCCGTGGGAAAGGGCCCACACTGGTCATCCTTTCGCAACCAAATGTTCCCCAGGATAAGTATCCATCCAGAAAAGGTTCCCAGGTCCCATCCTGAGCCCATAACTCGACCAATACCCGTCGTAAGACAAATCAGGATGTTTAGCGATAATGGCGACTGTGGCAATTGGCTCCCTCCGCGGTAAGGTTAGGCCACAGTATAAGGGGCCGTTCAAGTATTACGTAAGCACCAAGGGGGGGTGGGGGGGTCTCTGTTTTGCTTATTTTGATGACATGGGGGGGTAGGGGGGTCTAGATGATGATTACGTCATCGTTAGTTATTTACGTTTTTTCGGGGATACCGCAAATAATACATATGCGTAGGCACTCGCTTTGAGAACTGATTAGGGGAATTACCGCACATTAGGGAAATTACCGTGCGCTATTCACTTGTCTAATAATTAACTCTCGTGCCGACATTGCCCATTGAAATTTGAGAGTCGTAGTCAGCATAAAATATTATTATACGCGAGGCCGGCCTCCCGCGCGCGTGTTTTGTTTGGATACTAAACGTATTGTAAGCATTGAGAGTTATCATTTGTGTATATGTTGATGCATAATTGATGCAATTATGTTTGTTATGTTCTTTTTTTCTGATTATATCTTTTTGTTCCTACTCTATGTGTATCAGTTAAACCTAATATTTTCATGAATTTTTATATTTTAAAAATGACAATATTTAAACATTTATAACAAAATGTTTACGTAAGCATAGGGGGAGGGGGTAAGTGCTTTGCTTACTTTTGATGACAAGGGGGGCGGGGGGGTAAAAAATGGTAAGAAATCTGCTTACGTAATACTTGAACGGCCCCTAAGTGACAGGAGTAAATTATAGTTCTTACTCTTCCCATGTTTCTAATCATAATTATGGACATTTACACAGTGGTGGACTAACAGGGGGGCGGAAGGGGCGGCCCTAAATGCCGCGTTCTCCTGATCAAATCCTAAACAAGACTTTAAAATGTCAAGGGCCCCTGACTGAGGAGGCCCCGGCTCAAGAAGTCCCTAATCACCCCCCCCCCCTTCGCGCTGCTTCAGGCTTGTAAAACTATTTTTTTTTAAAGCGAGGGAGCCTCATTTAGCTTGGTCGCCCCAGGCTTCTAACGGGCTTAGTCCGCCACTGCATTTACACCATACGCTTAATGATAGGCTTTCAATAGTAGTTAGGTACCCTAGAGCGAAAGGAGCCGTCCTACTAGATGCCAGATGACATATCTTATGTGCTGTCGACTGTTACCTATTTATGAATAAAAAGCGCCTACTTTGTCATCATAAGCGGACTTTTAAGACCATCCCAAAACGCAGTATTCTACCCTGTCTTTATCTTGTTATCAACATCAAGCTTCTACCAACGGAGTTTCGCAAATGACATTCCACCTACGTAGCTGGAGAGCGACCTACACCACGCTTGATGTGAGAAGCCATGCAAGAAGTCTCTCAAGAACTATTATATCCAATCTGTACTGTGGCAATGTTTAGGTGCACGTGTGCATTGTTCATATTGTTGTCGGCCGGGGCCGCTAGCCATTTGACCAAGCTGTGAGCAATGCTATCACATATTTTTAAACTTAAGAGTAACTGACTGATTTAAGGGACAAGATCTAGAATGAGGTCACTTGGCTGAAGACTGAAATAGATTAATAATGTAGCAACCTGAAGTGGAAATGGAACAGATTTACCAATGAATCTCGGAAACTTAGTGTGATTCTCGATCACAGAGTCAAAAAAATAGCTGGCAGTTGATGAAGAAAATGCTGCTTTTAAAAATCGGCCTTATAATAAAATTCAAGGATAACGAAGGTTTTATACAGGGTGGCCAGAAAAGTGACGTCCAAAACATTATACATAATTTCGGTATCCATGCAAGTCAAGCGTTAAACACGACAGTCAATTACATTTATGATTTTAATTACATAGTTACTTATCTATTATCTAACTACTTCTAAACGAGTATTCTTGGCGCCACTTCTATTTACACAATCAAATACATAATACAACATTGATTAATAAATATCATCATGTCATAATGATGATTCCATTTTTAATGATTAATTAACAGCATGACGAGAGCGCAGCTCATTGCGACCAATTTTGTTAATCGGTCACAAAAAGTGACTCTTTAATTAAAATGTTTATTAAACAAAAAGTGACACTCATATTGTCCTAATGTAAACGCGGTCAACTGTGGTCAATCTTTGATACGTGGACCATGTTAAGTATTGTTTCGTGGAGTTACTAATTAAGTACATACACTTTCTGACAGTGTTTGTCTTTTTTACAAGCTTTTTATTACTTTCACATGTTTTATCCGCTGTGCACTGGAAATAAGTTGATCTTTATCTTCCAACTATCATATTTTCTTCTGTTTTAAGTATTTCGTTACAAGTCTAAATGAGAGTTTAACTTTTCTCTGAAAAAACTTGGACATCACTTTTGTATGTTGAGTTTTTATTGGCGGTCAAACTCATATACCAAAGGTGGGTGGGATAATTTATTACCTACTACAACTTCTATCAAAATATTGAAAGTGCTGTTAGCTAGTCACAAACCTTATTAATTTATGACTATTGACAAAAGGTAAAAAGATACAATTGTGTGGCTATTTTTTGTCTGTTGTCTCGACTGCAGGAGCATTCATTCATGATGACGTCGCCTTTACGACATCCACTGGAAGACTGGGCAATGGTCCTGCTTATACTTACTTAGTGGTTGTTTAAGCTTAAAAGGATAAGTATTCAATGTTCTATTATTACAAATGATCGGTATGTGTAATGGATATTGGTGTTAATGATATTTGAGGCAGGGGCACGCTTGACCACGTCTGTAGAGGCCGGCGCGCTCCGCTGCGCGCGCGTCATTTCATTCGTTTGACATATCAGCTAACAAGATGATTTTGATATTATGCTGATGTATGACATACTTAAAGTACCTTATGAGGTTCGTAGGGACCAAGAGTACTAAGTATTTAGTCCCTACGAAGCTCACATTATGTCCAATAGGCATTCATGGATTGAAAGATATTATATTTATTCGGAGATAGTGTGGTACAAAAGTAGTGTTAAGATAAAAAAAAAGCGCAGCTTATCTCACCAACGCAGCTGGCATGCTCATAGGCATCGTAATTATCCAAGTTATCTACCCTAAAGATTTTTTGGGCACAAATTCATCTGACATTTCTTTTTCTCATGGAAAGCTTCGTCACGGTAATACTAATTACCGTGGCTTCGTTGTCAAGCTCATTTTGGACTTTGACCACTTTGACTCAATTCAAACCTTAATAATTTATTCAAACAGCCACTTTTTTATATTGATGAATTTCCTACTTCAAAGTTTTTTAAAGTTTCCGCCAAAAGTGAAAAGCGGATAATGCTTTATTAAGTGTTGTAAGCAGTGCCGCTAGATGTCGCACTTTACATAACGTAAAATATTGGGTTATCTATCTATATATCCCTTTCAGCACGAGAGAAAAATTTGACGATTTCTAAAAAATCGCGTTAGTTTCTGGGGTCTTTAGGATCTTAGTAAATAGAGAAAAATAGCGAAAAAATTTAGGGGGTGACTTTAACCCCCCTAAACCCCCCCGCACGATCGTATCAATCCGTCATGAACCTATGAATAGCTATTTCATTACAATTACAATTTAAACTAATTAAAAAAAGACATTTTAGATATAAGGAGCTTTATTATTTTTCATAAAGACATGATATCGTAATTAGATACTAATTTCTGCAAAAAAATTCAAAAATAGCTCATGACCCTAACCTAGAACTCTGTCAAAACCTGAATTTTGGGGGTAGTAGCATCTTAAAATTGAACATGAGCTTTCGTTTTTAGTAATAACTTATTTTTTTTGAATCCCAGATGTCGAGGCTATTATTCAATAACACATGGGGTTAGATATTTTCATAAAAGGGATAATTTTGGTTCATCTATTGGTACTAGAATCCTGGTATCCTCTCGATATTTTCACTGGTGGCTGTATTTTCTACAGCGGATTTGTACTATTTGGTGGTTATGTGTCTCGGAGACATTCTTGAGTTTATTCTAGAGTAAATCTGATGTTCAGGCCTTTAAAAGATTCGAAAGGTTTCCATTACTTACATTACCAAAAATACAAACATCGTCCCGACATGCACGCTCGTGCTGTAGAACTTTAGGAGTACCTGGTACTCGGTTACATCTAACTTTTTATGAAATTAAAGCGAATTATATTTTTTAAGGATATAATTTAAATTAATACGCACAAAATTCATTGAAATCCACAAAAGAAGTAATTTAAATAAATTAATACTTTTCACGCCTCCCGTAGTCAGGTACACGTCCATATATAAAAGAAAGTCGTGTTAGTTACTCCACTTATAACTCAAGAACGGCTGAACCGATTTAGCTGAAAATTGTCAGGGAGGTAGTTTAGAGCCAGGAGAAGGACATAGGATACTTTTTATCCCGTTATTTATTGCCGTTAAGGCGGAACAAAGTTCGCCGGGTCAGCTAGTTTAAAATAAAAACCATAAAAAACGTTAATTTTATCTGAGAGCATCATTTATTGCAGAATTTAATAAAAATAATATTTTAATTTTATTATTACTTGATAAATATTGTAATGAATAGGAACACGCTCAATCAGCTGTCTGTCACGTCACGCGCGTCACTTATGACAGTTGTCAAACACGAAAAGGGGTTATGTTTGGATAACGCTTAAAATCTCATTTTACATAACATGGTGCGGTTAACGACCACGATTATACGATTATAAACGAGAAATGACTTGAACCTATACTGCAACGCCCGTAGTTTGTGAATAAACCGTCTAAGAGTGCAGCTGTTATGACATTTCAGTCTATTCTCGGAGTCGAGCTATTTAGGCCGAATTCTGATCAAAGGTTAAGGTTTTATGTTCGTTAGAAGACGGTGCAGTGTAGGCTGACCTCTCTGTGAGATAGAGATCCTATTATGGACGAACTGAAGCACAGAGCTGGCGAGAAACTTGAAGCACTACATGTAAGTAACCTTTTGTAAAGTTATGCGCTCTTGGTACTTTAGCGCGCGAATTTCGTATCTTTGCGAGACAAATTCCACTTCGTAAGACCCAAAAATATTTGTAGTAAACAACATTAGGGTAAAAAGCTATGAACGGTTGTAAAAAAACTGTTTGTTTTTTAAATGACTGTGAGATGTCATTGGCATCATTAACAGCCAGTGACCCTGAGCTTACATAATATAGTCATTAGTATATCATTAGAAAACCTGTATTGTTTTGTTGGTAAATGTATTTAAGTGAATTAATGAATAGCGAAAGGAAAAAATAGATTGAACAATCTGCATTGTTTACTTTTCCTGCTTGCTTAGTAGATTTGTGTATTTATGATTAATATTAATTTCACATTGCATGTATTCTGTTTCATATTAAAATTGGCAACTATCATTGGGTATCATCTCTCTACAGAATTAACAGTCATTTAGAAAGAACAAAAATTCCATCATTTTATCCTATAGTTGTTTATAATATGTCACCTATGTAATAGGGATGTTTCCTGGGTAAAAAAGCAAGAGTTTTAATTAGTCCGTCAGTTAGCTTATCAAAAACTACTCGACACATATTTTTCACTTTTTAAAACTAATGAAAATGCAAAGAGATAAAGCGTGCCAAAGTTCTAAAGAAAAGGCCCGTGACGTCAGTGAGTGCGTAAAAGTGCAGCACTTTGTGACGTCGCGCGGAACTTCAACGCACTATAACTTTGTAATTATTTGTTTGATTGACAATTAAAAATATACGTGTCCAATATTTTTTTATATTAAAATTAACGGACTAAAAATTTTTTTTTAGGAAACTAGCCTATTTAATTTTCTGGTATGATTTAGGTACCTAAAATGATTATTCCATTTGTTTTGAAATTTACTTGTAAAAATTTAGGTTTATGGTGTCTATCAATAAAAAAATGTAAATGCTACTCATTTCAGATAGCAGCAAAAACAGCAGCAGATGGAGGAAAGTCCCGAATCAATGATGTCGTCTCGACTACCAGTGAGACTATCAGGAAGGTACGTATTATGGCTCTGAGGTCTATGGTCTCAGCATTTTGTTGTACAGTCAACAGCTATAAATATTTGTTCCAAAATAGCCCATATTTTAAAGAGATAAGACACCACTGTGCTTCGCTTGATGTGCTCTTGTCTATACTTTAAACATGCTCTATCTATGGAATGTGAGATGGTTTTGAAAATAATAGTTAAGTTAGTTCAAGAGTTTAATTATTATAATTATCCTTAATTGTTTACTTTGTTCATTAATCCTGGAAGTCTTTTTAATGTTCAAATCAGATAATAACTTAAAACCATCTGAGAGTGTGATTCTATGTAGTCAAAAAAATGACCTACAAACATAAATGTGTGTGTGTGTGTACCTGATTGAAAATATTCCTTTCAAAGACAACATTGCTACAATTTATCTGCAAAACATTTAGTCATGGCTCACTAATTTTGGTTATCTATTGAGTTAGACTCCCATTGTTCTCTTCAAATGGAGCTTGAAGCCACGAGTCTGTTAACCAACTAATAATAGGAAACTTAACTGATATAAATTATGCTGAAAAGTAAGAAATATAATCCCTCCCCTAGAGGGATCACAAGAGTTTGTGTAAGGCCCAGAACGCAACGGTGAAACGCAACTGCAACGAAACTGCAACTTTCTGATGATTCTGATAAATGAAACTGAAACTGAAAGTTTCAAACTGGTCGCGTCATGTGTGGTCTCTCAACGGACGCTATGGCAGAAACTTAGATGCAACTCAAAAGTAACTAGCAGTTGCAGTTGCGTTTCACCGTCTGTTCTGGGCCTTAGGATTTTCACAGTTTCAGATTAAATGCAGTAGGTACCTAACCATTCATATAAGTAACAATACAAAAGCAGTCTGTTCTTGTAGAATAAAAGGAAATAGCCCAACCCATAGACGATCAAATTGCGACAAATACAGTTGGTAACAGCAAACGCGATTGGTTATCATTTCTATAGGTGCAGATGAGCCAAATCATTAACCAATAGGCTGGAATTTTGTCTGTGACAGAAAAACTTTATCGCGCGCGTGCCTATTTCATAAACCGGGATAAAAACTTTCCTATGTCCTTTCCCGAGACTCAAACTATTTCTATGCCAAATTTCATAAAAATCGGTTCAGTGGTTTAGGCTTGAAAGCGACACAGACAGACAGAGCTACTTTTGATTTATAATATTAGTATACAGGGTGTTAGGTAAATGGGTATATGAGCCGACACTAGCCCATGTTAACATGGTCATATAAATGGTATGGTGAAGTCAGAAAATTGATATCTTCATTTTAATTATTTTATTTTTCATACAAATCGTATATCGGCACTAAAGAAATANAAGAAATTTATTCAAAACTGCCACGCGGTCTCGTGCTAGATGGGCGTCTTAAAGGCCACCTTCTATCAACGGGAGCGCGTGGTAAGTAACTTGCTTCTGAATGTATGTAACTTCCTACTTTTTTATTTTTAAACCGGCAGACAGTGGTGACTGAGTTTGTTGCGGCGCTTCTTCTCAGCACTTGCCAAATGTTTGTCTCGAAGCGCTGGTAGGGCAAAAAAAGAATGAGACATGTATAGGCTCCTTAAGAGCACTTGACGATTTGCAAGAACTAATTTAATTAGTCTAAACAAATAAAGATAATTTTGATTTTTGATTTTGTATTTTATAAAATTTATTTTGCGGCTCATATACCCATTTACCTAACACCCTGTAGATTGGGCAGATAAAATTTATTTATTCATATAATTATTATAACATTTATAACTATATTTCTTTATAGCTCCGTGAAGCGTTCCAAGAGCTTTGGCAGAACGAACTCTTCATGGAGTCCCGGCTGCGAGTGGCGGCATGGACCCGGGACGCGGTGCAGAGGATACGGGAGGGCACGCCGCCGCTCTCGCCCGTGCTTCTGTATGAGGAGCTGGTCGCACTGTTCAAGGATAGAGGTAATATTCAGAAGAAGTTGACATGACGGTTTTCTCTTAAAAAAAGGTCTTAGGTGTCTCCCATTGTATTCGTCCACAGGCCTCTCAAGCATTCGTTTAAATGTCCCTCTAGCATTAGTCCAAATGCTTTTTACGGTATACGTCCACGCGCCTCTTTTGCATTTAGGCACATTTCCTCCTAGCATTCGTCCACTTGTCCCTCTAGCATTTGTGTTACAGACAGACAGGCTTATATCATACCCTATAGCATTCCATTTAATATTAGATCCGTACCTCTCTATCATTGGATTTATCCAGTGGTTATCCTGCTACAGTGTGGCATCGCAGCGTACTGATATTAGCGTGCGGCGTGGCATTAGGTGGCGGCATGCGCACGTCTCTAGCATTTTTCTCTCTTTAGCATTCACCTGCGTGCTTATTAAGCATCTTTCTGCGTGCCTTTCAAGCATTAGTTCACGTGCATCCAAATAAACCAGTCTGTTGTATTGGTGGAGAATGCTATGCACTAGAGGAAATATTTCGATGTGAAATGAGCTCTCTGGCAGTGTGCGGCGCTGGGCATGTCATCTGCGCTGCCAGCATTCTTCTGTGTGCTTCTCTAGCATTACGTGTCACTTTAGTATCTCTCTAGCACTGGACCGCGTGGCATTCTAGCATTCGTCCACACCCTCCTCTATCTCTGTCCTACTTATTAATCTATAGCTATTTGGGCACAGTGTGGCGTCGCAGCGTCCTGATATTTGCCTGCGGCGCGGCCATAGGCGGCGGGGCAGGGCTATGCGTAGGGCTGAGGGCAGCGAGTCGGGCGCCAAGCGGGTGTCTTCTATCATTAGGCTGCTTGTTCCTTTAGCATTATTCCATACCCTTCTAGCATTTGATCACTTGCCCCTCTATCTCTCGCCTATTTATTATCCTCTATCTATCTGGCTACAGTATGGCGTCGCAGCGTCCTGATATTTGCCTGCGGTGCAGCCATAGGCGGCGGGGCGGGGCTATGAGGGTTGCCAGATGCCCGGGAAATCCGGGATTGTCCCGGAATTTTGCGTCTTGTCCCGTGTCCAGTAATTAGACATTACTGTCCCGGATTTCCGAAAACCTAATAGTTTTGTGTCAAAATAAAGTAATATGTAATAACAAATGACACGGCTGGCCTGCCTGTGAGTCCTATTATGTACGTTGACGTACATTACTTATTTAATAAAAGTGTGTATTTGAAAATAAATGGCATTTTTCTTTTGAAATACAAATTAAATCATTTGAGAAACCAAGATATTTTTACTATGGCCAAGACCCGACACCGTTGTCCTAGTAGAATTGTCCCGGATTTGGTAAGTTTCCATCTGGCAACCCTATCAGCGTGGGGCTGCAAGCGGCGAGTCGGGCACCTCTCCCTGTCACAGTGTCCCTCTCATTCAGTCACGTGTCTCTTTAGCATTCGTCCACGTGGCTCTCTAGCATTACTCCATTATGCTCCTTTATCTCTATCTCTCTCTTACTTATTAATCTATAGCTATTTGGCTACAGTATGGCGTCGCAGCGTCCTGATATTTGCGTGCGGCGCAGCCATAGGCGGCGGGGCAGGCCTATGCATGGGGCTACGAGTGGCGCCGCTCTCGTCTATAGCATTCTCGTCTCTATGTATCTATCATTAGGCTGCTTATCCCTTAGCATACAAGTTAACCTGTAGCTCTCTTGCTGTAGTGTGGCGTCGCAGCGTCCTGATATTTGCCTGCGGTGCGGCCATAGGCGGCGGGGCGGGGCTATGCGTAGGGCTGAGGGCAGCGAGTCGCGCGCCGGCCGGGCCGCACGCTCGAGCGTTACACTCGCACGCAGACCAGTCTGTTATATTGGTGGAGGATGCTATTGCGCCAGGTACGTAATTCACGTCTCAATTATTTTAATATAGGCCAAAGAAAGACGTAATGTAGACAAGACTACAATGGTTTATTAGTTAATGGTTGCTATCGTCACAGCTTAGTCTTTTCCATACTATTAGAGGCCGGTCGATCTATTCTCATAAATAAAACACTGGATACTTAACTTTCACATTTTGCCTTATTTCAGATACAATTCATCACTTAGCACAAAAGCGCGCGGAGTCGTCTCCGCGCGTCCCTCTATTCTGACGTTTGATCCTAGTGTGACATTGACGTATTGTCAATGTCACACTATGACAACAGCTCATTGGACACAACGATACAGTTATTTAGCGTTTTAGATTTTTCGCAATTAACAATACCTACAAAATCAATAGGAGATTCAGTTTTGACAGTTGAAGAAGTTAATTGACTGGCAACTACCCTATTTTATGAGTTTTAATATTAATCCTTCCCATCCCAACTTGGAGTGGAGGCCGCGTAGCGGAAAACGCAGCGTAGGACGTCCACCCACGAGGTGGACCGACGACATCGTAAAGGTAGCAGGAAGGCGCTGGACGCAGGCCGCTACCAACCGGGTAACATAGAAAGCATTGGGGGAGGCCTATGTTCAGCAGTGGACGTCCTGTGGCTGAGATGATGATGATGATCCCAACCTGGCCACCGTATAAAGTGGTCAAATCCTGCCTTTTGCCTTTAAGATTGTCTTCTTACAGTGGAAATGATGATGATGACTGTGTTGTCTAATTGTATGTGGTCATTATAGGTGCGGGCTCAGGCGAAGTTCTAATCCGCGTGCAAGCATTCAGCGTGTGCCCGGTGGACAGAGGAGTTTTACGCGGGAGAGGATCGGCGCTGCGTTCGCTTATTGCTAGAACACAGCTAACAGTGGGCCGGGGGTTCACAGGTCAGTGACGTAATACTTACGAGCCGATAGGTTCACACTCTCCACTGAAAAGTCGGTCAGTGACTGTTGCCATCCCTCCCACGTAAAGCGAGATGCCGTTAAGAGTGACGGTGGCAGATAGACCCGAAACTTGCTAGGACGCAGCAGCACAGTCGGCCGAGGGTTCACAGGTCAGTGATTGTTGCCATCCTTCTTCCGCAAAGTGAGAAGCCCACATGAGTGAAGGTGGCAGAGATAGACCCGAATAAACTACGCTTCTCAGGTTTTTGAATGAGCTGCTGTCTATTGTAGTCTTGCGAGGCTACTCCAAAAAACATCTGAGGTTTCAAATGCTGCTATCCCTCTCACTCTCCCAAAGCGAGATGCCAGCATGAGTGACAGTGAGAGATAGACTCGTAACAACGTATTGGAATAGCCCCGTTAATCCGCGTGCATTCGTGCAAGCATCCAGCGTGTGCCCGGTGGACCGAGGAGTATTACGCGGGAGAGGATCGGCGCTGCGCTCGCTTATTGCTAGGACACAACTTACAGTCGGCCGGGGGTTCACAGGTCGGTCTCACCACGTGATACTTCCCCTTGATAAATTTTGCTGTCATTTCTGGTATAGTTCCAAAATACTGAACTGTCCTATGCATGACATTGACAGTGTGGCGCCACCGTCAATACCGGATCGCTAGTTCCGATTTTTGCCATGTTGGAAACCATATAGTTGAACGATGGTAGCGCCCCCCTGTCATTGAGTTTGGCGGGACAGTTCAGCGTGGGTCATCTATATTAGATCTTTGACACGCCTTCGAGATGCACAACTGACAAATGACAATCAAATGTCAACATGCGCAAAAACGACACTTCTTTCTGGTATGTAAATGATGTAATTTCTCTGTCCTGGTTTTGCAGCGAAGCGGAGTTTATGTAACACTAATGCCCGTTTTTACCATTATTCCCTAATTTTTAAGTGACCCACTTTTAGGGGTCACTTAAAAATTAGGGATTGATGCAGAAAACGGGCATTAGTATAGTTAACAGCTTGTAACGACCACGAAGTATACCATGCACACGGAAAGTGGAGACAGAGTCGGCCGTTTGGTGTAGTGGTTCGAAACGGACTACTTTTTTTTTTTTATGTGATAGGAGGGAAACGAGCAGACGGATCACTACTATTCCGGTGGTAGCGGGTTCGATTCCCGCACAGTACAAACATTTGTGTGCATGAACATATTTGTTTGTATTGGACTGGGTGTTTTCTATGTATAATAAGTATGTATTTACAAAAAAAAGTATTTATGTTTATATCCGTTGTCTAGTACCCATAGCACAAGCTTTGCTTAGCCTGGGACTAGAAGCGCAATGTAAATAAATAAAAATCTTTGGACAATGTCACACAGCGCCATCTAGCCCCAAAGTAAGCAATTAATATGCTTGTGTTATGGGTGCTAGCTTAACGGATATACTACTTATATACTTTTTTTTTAATACATACATATTATACATAGTAACACCCAGACAAGTCACAGAAATTAAAATTCATCATTTCGATTTCTGCCCTGTAAAACGTCCATGGATATTTATTTTATTTATATTTGTAAGGTTTTGTTAGGATACTTTGGGTACGAAATCAGCTAATAAAATGGTTGTTATTCCCCCAGGCGTGGTGTTAGACGTGGGCCCAGGCGTGGGCGACCTGGAGATGGGCGATGAAGTGTGGGGCTGCGTCAGCGAATGGGCCGGCGGCGCCGCCAGCGAGCTACTGACTGTGCGCAGGTCAGTATATACCTAAGGCCGGGTTCCCACTATGCCGGACCGGCAGATCTCCCGGTCCGGTAAAATCGCCGGAAGGCCTAGCGGCGGTACAAATTGTATGAAGCTGTTCACATTATCCCGGATCCGGCTTTTTCTCCCCGCACTTCATCCGGCCCGTGCTCCCCGCACTTCATTCGGCTCGGATTTCGGATCCGGTGATCCGGTGTAATGTGAACACCCTTGTCCGGTGTCCGGTTTCCGGCAGAAATGCCGGTCCGGCATAGTGGGAACCCAGCCTAAGGGCTTATTCTCAAAAGCCTCCATCAGGATGGCCAGTGGGCAACTGGGAATTCACCCTGATGACCAGAGACTGTTTCTTTATTTTTTTGACGTTCATCAGTGCCAAAAAAGGGTTACCTACGTGACAAACGTTACATCGAATTTTGTTTCTTCGAAAACCTTTCTACGAAGTTACTATACTGCGACGCCTTGTTATATTGATGCTTTGTTACTGCGATGTTCGCAGTAAAGTTTTTCGATGTAACGTAACATCGCAGTAACAAGGCATCGATATAACAAGGCGTCGCAGTATAGTTACTTCGCAGAAAGGTTTTCGAAGAAAAAAAAATCGATATAACGTTTGTCGCACTCACGTAGGTAACCCGCCAAAAAAGGAGAGTTTATTTACACTTTCAAAGTCAAAATTTCTTTATTTGTTTAGACTAATAAATAGTTCTTACAAATCGTCATTTTGCTCTTAAGGAGCCTCTACATGTCTCATAATCTTTTTACCCTACCAGCGCTTCGAGACCAACATTTGGCAAGTGCTGAGAAGAAGCGCCGCAACAAACTCAGTCACCACTGTCTGCCGGTTAATATAAATAAATATAAATAGTAGTAGTAGGTACATTCGATTCAGGAGCAGTTCACTGAATTTACCATGCATTCTTGTATGGTGTATCTTATAAGAATGGGTATACAAGATTGCGTGGTATATTAAACAAGGTAGTGACGTGCTAATATCTAGACTTACATATTAAGATACTAGTAGAAATGACTCGCATACATAAATTTGAATAACTTGGATTGACCAGTCCCCAAAAGCAGCGCCTGTTCACAGACATGACGAGTGAACCAGCTTTGTTCACCTGGGTGACTAAATTGGATTTTTAGTGTCTACATTTCATCTCGGAACCATTTCACCCAGGTGATATCATCCAGGTGACAACCCTCCGCAGGATTTCCAAAATTTAAGGGCGGAGTATTAACTCGTAGAAGTGATGGTCGTTGAGGTTAAAAAAGTTTTCATCTTTCGACCACGGACAGAAGGATTAGTGTAGGCAGTCCAGTCCGATGATCGATTGACAGTAAAGTTTGCGGGAAGCGCCTGGATGCGATCAGCGCTAGACCGGTCTTTAAGGAAATCCTTAGATGAGGCTCTGTCCAGTATTCGTTCGAAACGAGGAAGTAGCAAATCATGATAAAAAAACTAACTAAAACTTAATCACAATTATTGCACTGACCTGTATGTTACCCACTGAACTGGCTGCTGTCATAATGTTTTTGTGCCTATTTGAGTTTCGCCATTTTGGTGCTGTAGGCCATACTGTAGGCAGCTTGTTCATGGAACTAAAATTTGTGGTGTCCAAAATCCAAAAATTAGTTCTCGGGACAATCGTAGTGGCGATTTAAATTGCCACACCACAAAATTTGCTGCCAGTGTGTCATACAGATCAGAGCAGTTATTGCCTAATCACATATCGTGTCTAATAACTGTGATCAAGAACAAAGACATTTTATTTCGTTATAGTACTCGCGTATCCAAGCGGCCGCGCAGCGTGTCTGCCGACGGCGCGGCCACATTGCCTTGGGCGGGCTCGCAAGCGCTGGCAGCGTTGGAAGCGCTGCAACTCACACCCGACACCGCTAAAGGCAAGCGGTGAGTGGATCAAACACGTCTATGGTCATTATCATTAACAACACTATTCCCACCTCTCGTTCCCACCGCTGCAAATCCTGTAGATTCTGGCTAAAGCCTGGTCCGTGAGCACGTAGAATTTTGTCCAATGAACCCGAGCTACCCATCCTTATCGCTCGCGCGTAATTATGTTGCTGTCGTGCTTGCACACTTACTGCGGGCGCCTGTCGCACAGTTGGGGTCATTGGACAAAATTCTACGTGCTCACGGACCAGGCTTTAGCCAGAATCTACAGCTTGACCGCCAATAATAACCGAACCAGTGAAGGTAATTTTTATCCCGGTCTTCATCGTCATTAAGTCAAATGACTTTTAAAGTCTCCACTGCAGGAGCACGTAAACCTTCTCTAATTTACTATTTAAAGGCAAATGGATGATTCGACATGCACTCCATACGCTAGACGGGTTGGAGAGGCATAATGTTCGCACATTCTATGTCTTAATCGCCTTTAACTACAACGATGGGAAAAGTGGGACTGTGGGAGAACGCCTATTCTCGGATCACTAGTCCGCGCCATAAGTAACTGGCAATTTCGCAAATCTATTTAAGAAATTGAAAAGTTTTTTTCCCCCATTTTATTGCAATCTGTCTTTATTACCATAAATAAATGAGAACACGTAATCAACTACAACATTTTCAGATGACGCCACGTATATGTATACTCGTCTCTTTTGCTCTAAATCAACTAAATAAGTTTGTGATTGCAAAGCAATTAAATTTTGCAACTAGGCCGCAGTTTACCAGTCTTATTGCAGTAAAAACGTTACAACTGTCTCGCGTGTAGCGTAATTGTTTTTGTAGCGTACTGTATCGTGTTTTTGGATCGCACTGTAGCGTATATGTTTTTGTAGCGTACTGTAGCGTGTTTTTGTATCGTACTGTAGCGTATTATTTTTGTAGCGTGGCGATATGCGGCGCGGCAAGCGGCGAGGGTTGCGTGTTGATCCAATTACTCAGCGCTTGGGGAGCGCATCTCACTGTGTTAGCACCCAGACACACTGCCTTGACGCTACAGGATTTAGGTAAGTACTATACGATAGTAGGCTTAGCAGGCTTTCCCTACGCGACCGTATCAGAAAGAAATCTCCGTATTATACTAAAGTAACCGACCATAGCCAGCCAAATTGATAAACGTGTACGTCGTTTCAGCCAAATGACGTCCACTGCTGGACAAAGCCTCTCCCAAGGTTTTCCATAATGGACGGTCCTGCGCTGCCCTCATCCAGGTTCTTCCCGCGACCTTTACTCGTCGGTCCACCCAGTGAGAGGCCTGCCCACGCTACATCTTCCACAGCCCGTGGTCGCCACTCGAGAACTTTTCTGCCCCAACGGCCATCGTCTCTGCCAAACGGGTACATAGCTCGTAGAACTTATGGCTGTTGGAGCAGAAAAGTTGCCGAGTGGAAACGAACTAGACCCACTTAGTGGACCAGCAAACTCGTGAAGGTTGCAAAAAGCATCTGAATGTGGGCAGCATAGGACCAATCGTTGTGGAAATCCTTGGGGAAGGTCTTTATCCAGCAGAGGAGATCTTTTAAAATTAACAGTATATTGCAACTGTCCATTCACTTTGAGCAGCGACCGGAGCATAATAGTTAGTAATATCACAGAATAATAATAAGTACTATGTACAGAAGTTTTACTTCGCATCTTCGTATTTAAAAAAATGTATGCTCAATGTCATTAACAATATGGTGTAATTTAGCCTGTCTCAAGAGTCAAGCACCATTTTGTTGACAAACGTCAGTGATCTGAGGGAGGAAATACATGATTTAGCATGAATTATCATGAATAATTATTAACTACTTATTCACCTCTCAGTATCTTGAGGCAACTTAAAAAAGTACATTCTGTGTTTTTCTTATTATTTAGGCAGTTAAATACTGCACAGTATTTAGTACACCATTTTCTTTATTATCTTCCATCATACACAAGAATACGCGTGCGTGAGTCAATGTTCGCTCGTATGTGAGGCCTTGTCGAATAGTATCCTGTAGGTGGCCATCGTGCGTGTTTTGTTTTCGATGTAACCTTGCGGAGATGAACAGGCCTGGTAATATGGCGAAAGGCTCTGCGCTTTTTCAGCGCTGACTGAATTTGACATGTGCTTATCCCCTATTGTCTCCCACCAGGCGCGCAAGACTTCGTAGACATGGACGAGCACGGTTCGTGCTGGCAGGCGTTAGAGCACGTAGCTGCACGCGCCGGGCCCTGGCACGCGGCGTTAGCGTGCCCGGGCGCGTTAGCCGCCGCCGCTTACCCAAGCAACGTCGCTGCTTTACTCAAGTAAGTTGGCTTACTCCTTATTATCCCATTCTTACCATGTGGTGATTCGACCCACTAAAAACCTGTAGCCTTGTTCACGTAACAAAACTTCAACGACAACAAATCGTTGAATGCGATCCTGTCGAGTGATCGTTCAATCGAAATGACCCTTGTGAATACGGATTTAGAACTGTTTTTCAATGGGACGACTTCTGAACATAAAAAATTAAAAATTCATAAAATTCATTCATTTTTGCAAATAGGCTTTAAAAAAGCGCTTTTACACGTCCCAATATTAACCCTACCACTGCTTCGGGACAATAAATGGGCCAGTGCTGAGAAGAAGCAACGAAGCAAAGAACGTCAGCGAAACCTTGACTGTTAAATACGTGAATTAGGCCACTGATCTGTTTCCTCTGTCGCAAAATATACAGCGCCTCACTCGTTATTCTATGTGAACGACAAACGCAATGCACGATGCGATGTGGTGCGACACAACGCGATGTGATGCATTGCGACGCGACGCAATGCGAAATGTTGCGACGCGACAATTAATTGTTTAATTAGTATACGTAATAGCATGTCATAACATGTGTCATATGAAGTATCGTGAAGTATCGGCTGCATTACGTCGCGTCAATACCATAGACATAGGATATGAACGAGCACGGTTCGTGCTGGCGCAAGCGTTAGAACATGACGCGTTAGCCGCCGCCGCTTATCCAAGCAACGTTGCTGCTTTACTCAAGTAAGTTGCAAGTTGATTCAAATACCATTCTGACTCAATAGGGATGTTTCCTAAGTCAAAAAGCAAGAGTTTTAATTAGTCCGTCAGTTAACTTATCAAAAAATACTCTACACGTATTTTTCACTTTTTCAAACTTATAAAAATTTAAAGAGATAAAGCGCGCCAAAGTTCATAAGAAGAGGCCCGTGACGTCAATGCGTGCATAAAAGTGCCGCACGTTGTGACGTCGTGCGGAACTTCAACGCACCATAACTATGTAATTATTTGTTAGATTGACAAATAAAAATGTGTCCAATATTTTTTGATATTAAACATGACGGACTAAAAAATTTTTTTTAGGAAACTAGCCTATTCTGCTATCCAGCCTACGAAACGGGTTATAGATGACCACTAACCCAGTAAAAACTTAGGCAGTAACTAGTGGATTAGACTAGGATGTTGACGAGTATGATTCGTGGCTTATTCCACTATTCCCCATTGACAATCCCCGTTAACTCCAATTGGAACTTATAAAATCAAAATAAAATCCTATTATAACGGGGATTAATTAACTGTTTGTTCACTAATCCCCGTTAATGGGGATTGTCAACGGGGAATACTGCCGCACAATTTATAAACGCAGTAAGTACCACTTACTGCATTTATGATTGTTTTGAATATTCTGAATCCTGACATCGCGATCTATAAGAATCAAAGACCCGTTTTTTTCTATCTATCTTAGAACGGAAGATACATATTATCATAAACGCAGTAAAGAGCAGATTGTAGGTTTCTTCACATACTATGTTAGCAGTAAGAGCCCATAATAACTTAATATTACGTGAATACTCGCGCTTACTTAATTTGCTACACAATAATAGTGCAGTATGTGCCAATTACATCATTCTTATTATGTTTCTACAATTGTTAAGTTCACCTTGCACATAGTATATGTGCAGTAATTACACTTAAACACACACTGATATTATGTTTCCATAGGAAAAACAGATGACTTGTACTTAATATTAATGCAGTAATTACAATTATACTGCGTACATACTAAGGATTATCAGAGTGCTGCCTAGGTGTTAACATGTTATGAACGCAGTGGCTGACTCTTACGTTATTGGAAGAAGTTGAAAACCTGTCCAAATGACAAATCTAGCCGAAGACCCAAGAGCTAGATTGACCCGACACTATACCGAAGATATCCCGGACGTGTCTGTACGAGATTAGAATGGCTCTCAAACAGCTGAAAAACAACAAGGCACCGGGCGATGATGGAATCACGGCTGAGCTTCTGAAATCAGGCGGAACGCCGGTACTAAAGGCTCTTTAGAAGCTATTCGATTCCGTCATCCTTGAGGGAAAAACGCCTACGGCATGGCACAGAAGTGTGGTGATACTCTTCTTCAAATTAAGATCTAAAAGTGGGTGCCATATCTTAATTTTTGATTGAATAACAAGCGATCTCAGCAATTATTTTGTAATACTTGTTTCATTTACCCCTTGGTCATTTGGGAAAGTTCAACATGAAAGCGTTATTGGCTTATGATAAGCGCAGTATAATTGTATTATTACTGCGCATTTAAAGTTTTGATAAATTATTTTGATTCACACTCCCACTCATAAATGCAGTAAGTTGTAAAGATACGGCGCATATATTACGTTGTAAGAACTAAAATTTAAATCAATCATTTAACACATGTACCGTAAGTAACGTAAACTACTGATAAACGCAGTAAGGAACAATCATACTGCATTCATGGGTAGTAAGTATCGAACGAAAACTTAGTTAATCCATAACATAAACAGTTTTTTAATAATTTTAAATACAAAATATTAATTAAAATACAAAAACCTCATATCAAAATAAACTTTGAGTTTAGCTCTATAAGCCCATATATTTTTTTTTACATATATTTGCGTAACTAATTGTAGACACCCCAAAATAAAATTTCAACTTTGATCGCGTTTTTCTCGAAACTGTTTACGTGTTACTTACTGCGTTTATAAATTGTGCGGCAGAATAGTGGAATAAGCCTGATTCGTGCTGGCAAGCTTTAGAACATATCGCCGCGCGTCAGCTGGCACGATACGTTAGCAGGCCCGGGCGAATTATCTACTACAGCTTACTCAAGCAACGCCGCCCCTTTACTCATGTGAGTTCCGAGATTCGTGCAAGTTGAACAGCTCTTTGATGGAGGCCACGCACCGAAAAGCGCAGCGTAGGGCATCCACTCACAATGTGGTGTGAGATGGACCGACGATCTCATAAAGGTAGCAGGAAGGCGCTGGATGCAGGCCGCTACCAACCGGCCTTTGTGGAAATCATTGGAGGAGGCCTATGTTCAGCAGTAAACGTTCTATGGCTGAAATGATGATGAAAATTTTCGCTCAGCATACACTTTTAGTTTTTAACTTGATGCTATAGACCAGGGTTTCCCAAATTGTTTTTGCCAAGGAACCCTTATTGATTATACTTTTCCTAGCGGAACCCCCGTACTACTCCGCCCGCACGCCCTGCCCCTCCCTTGTGCGTAAACAAGTCGGTGCGAGCGAACAACTTTGGTCACAAAACGTGGGATAATATTTTTTACGGAACCCTTGCGGCCTTTCCACGGAACCCCAGGGTTCCGCGGATCACCTTTCGGGAACCGCTGCCATAGACAAACATTATACTTTTTGCAGAGCGACGGCACCCCGTAACGCGATAGTAGACCTCCGGCCGCGGCCTCTGATCTCGGACCGGCTGCCCGGGCCATTGTCATTGCTGTTTGCTGCCTCTTTCTACTCGCTTAGGGTAGTCAGGGTGAGTTGGACTTTTTTTATTGAAATATGTTAACTTAAGATAATTCGTAAACCATAAGTGATGTAAAAAGATTCAAACTCAATATCAATTATTTCGCCAGCTCATAAAAAGTACTTCAATTTTAAAATTTTATTTTATATGGACTGTCCCGCCGAAGCGCTTAGGGCGTCACGCAGTGATTCGGCCAATGTCAAGTAGTTCAAAACGTTGTTTCTCGATAGTTTCTATCATGGTGATGCCGTCTGGCGTCACATATTGGTTCAAGTTCAATAAATAGTTCAAGGAGTTATATGTAAATTGACTGGTCATTGAATCTAGTTAGGGCTGATTTTTCAATAGTCTGATAACTTTTCACTGAAGGATGAGTTATCACATTGACAGTTTCAGTATGAGAAAAATGTCAAAATGACAAGTTTATTCTTCGGTTAAAAGATCTGACTGAATGTTTTATTGGAACAATGTGTTATTTCCAGTGGATATGCGGTAAAGGCACGCACACGGACTGGCTGGAGTCCCCGCACCGGCTCACTGGCGGGCTAGAAGAGTTGGCGCAACTAGTCGACGCGGGCACTCTCGCGCCTGTACTGGACAAGGTAAATAATACTAAATAATAACTTGGTAAAGTCCGGTCGCCGAGCAGATAGAATTTCGTCCAACGACCCCAAACTACCCATCATTATCGCTCGCGCGTAATATACATATTGCTGTCGCGCTCGCACACGACCGGACTGTAGAAAGTTAGCTAAGCTCAGTAGTCTTATTTAGACCACAGGTCCACTGTGAAAGGTATGCGACGTTAAATAAAAGTAGACTGCAATGTCAAGGGCTGGTTTATTGCCGTTTATCTATTGCACGCGACCTTGGTTTTGGTGGAGCAGTGTAAAGGATAAGGCTTATGACAGTATACTATTGAACTGCCATAAAGCATTTGACTAGGATTTACAACTATCACTATTTGCGCAAGGCTGCTCAACCTTTTGAAGAGTCGGGCCAAACGGAGGATTCAGTCGTTAACGACGGGCCACTTACATTTCCTATTTCAGTTACTCTCAAGACAAGCGCAATAAAACACTCAATCATTAAGATCAAACCATACTTGGCAGATCTGTTAAAGACGACTACAAAGTATAGCCTGACCAGGAACATAAAAACCCTCGCCATGTTGCGGAAAATTAATGGTACTAATTTCTTTTAATGGCAACAGTAACTGAAAACTTCATTGACATGTCACCTTGCATGTCAGTCTATTGCTGTTAAAGTGTAAACAAACTTTATTTTAAATGTGCGCAATTGATTTTGTGAATTAAATTGCTAAAATCTTTATATAGTCGTGAAAGAAAAGTGGTTCACAATGTGTTAAAGTATTTGTCGAAGAGAAATACTAAGGGTTCGGACAATATTTTCATTGAATAATGTTTCCGACAAAGGTTGTCAAATTGACTGACATGTTTATCGTATAGTACAGTCAACTATGAAAATTAGCTGTGGTTTGTTTCAACTACCTATTTTAAAGTTTTTTGTCACTTTGTAAGTATTGAATTTTATGTTTCTAAGTTTTGAATTTTATGGAATTGGGAAAGAAGTACCGAGTTTGAAGCGTTCATGAGCAGACATTGCAGTTGAATATTCATGTTCTGAATTTGATTATTGATGAATAATAAAATAAATCCTACTAGCTCGATTGATGGTTTCATTTAATTTATTTAAACCAGGTTATCTTTAATAATATTTTTCGTTAATTTATGAAAATATCAAATTAGCCCGTAATCCTGAATCCTGATACATAAATTTAGCCTATTAATTTAACACATGTACGACTGTACTCAGTGTTGCACTATCAAATGCAATTGAAGCGCCTCTGTGCCAGGGTTTTTATGTTCCTGGTCAGGCTATACATAAAGTTAGCCTATTAATTTAATACAGGTACGACTGTACCCAGTGTTGCACTATCAAATGCAATTGAAGCGCCTCTATGCCAGGGTTTTTATGTTCCTGGTCAGGCTATAATAGCAATATTTTTACTGAGTGTCAAGGTGCTTTATGAAACTCTTATGAAATTATTAATAACTTCTATGTATCCAGGTGTACATCCCGCAAGACTTCGAGAATGCTTTGGCGCATGCGTGCAGTGAGGACGCCATCGGAACCACCGTCATACGCTTCCCGTAACAGTAACAGGTAGCGGAACTAGTACATAATATCACGGAACTGGTATCGAATACTAGGTTGTTATGGTATCATACGCTTCCCATAACAGGTAGCGGAACTAAAGTACGACCAACTAGCAGCGATAAAAAAGGTCGATACGACTGTCAAGTTGACAATATATTGTCTCTTCCCATCTTGTGTATTTGTCGTAATGTCTCGTTCTCCCGTCAAAATATGTCAAAGTCAGACGGGTTCACCCATTTATTTATTTATTTATTTAAACTTCATGCCAAAATAAATTTGAACATAAGGCGAACTTAATGCACTAAAGCATTCTCGACCAGTTTACCTTTGGGTTGAGCAGAAAAGAAATTTGTTTGGCGGTACTTCTAGTGCAGGAAAGAAAAACAAAAACAAATATGCTACATACATAAATAATATATAAAATATATAATAAATAAATACATACATAAAATAGATGATTGAGTTAAACTGAAATTACAATTTATGAAGATGAGATCATTTGGAGGAAGTGATTATGGACAGATTTTTTAAAAGAAAACTTACTAGACGCTTGCCTGGTCTCTTCAGGCAGAGAGTTCCAGAGCCTAATGGCCTGGAGACGGAAGGAGTCGGAGAGAAAACCAGTTCGGTGTAGAGGGGTGGAAAGAACGGAACCCATGACATTGGGTTTGTTTACATTTGGTATCGCTTCTCGTTGGCCCTACTTTAGTACCTAATATCGTGGAACTGGTATCGAATACTAGGTTATTATGATACCAAACGCTTCCCGTAACAGCCAGCGGAATTAGTACCTAATATCGCGGAACTAGTATTGAATACTAGGTTATTATGATACCAATCGCTTCCCGTAACAGGTAGCGGAACTAGTACCTAATTTCGCGGAACTGGTATCGAATACTATGTTGTTATGGTATCATACGCTTCCCGTAACAATATCTAGTATAACTAGGTAACAGGAGATAGTGCCTAATATCATGGACCTACTATCGAATACATACTAGGTTGTTATAACGCCAAAATTGGAACCGTTTTCTTCAATCGACTTAAGGTGGATTCGACCAAACAAGAGTAAATAATCTCAATCTCAGAATAAACCTGTCATTTTGACATATAGTTCCAAAATACTGAATTGTCCTATCCATGACATTGACAGTGGGGCGCCACCGTCAATACCGGATCTCTGCTTCCGATTTTTGCCATGTTGGAAACCATATAGTTGAACGATGGTAGCGCCCCCCTGTCATTGAGTTTGGTGGGACAGTTCAGCGTGGGTCATCTATATTTCCCATACTGAAACTGTCAATGTGCCAGTTATACCAGGAGTTATTCTCGTAAAAGTTTGGTCGAATCGGGCCTTAGAACAGCACATCATAGTGCAGCTTTGTTGCATTATGGAAGCTATTACAGAGGCATAAGGTCGATGTGCCTTCTTCTATCCTAAAAGTAGATATTTTGTTGGATGACTGGTTTATGGTCACAAGGTTTTAATTTTAAAGTTCCTCAAATGTTTTTAATAAACTTTAAAGTATTTATATTTTGTCTATGGAGTGGTATTCAAGTTATAGATTTTCAGTTCTCAAATTGGAGACAAATATATTTTTACTGAAATTGAAATAGGTATTCGGTCCCATAGTTGTTCCGAATTGCTTACGTCACATGACGTCACGATAAAATGAATGGTACACTGTCAGAAAGTTACGCATGGAGTCTATATTGTATAAATTATTCTAAAAAATCTTCAATTTAATAATAGAAAAGTTAAATTTTATTTCTTTTTGGGACCAGAAATCAAAATATCTGAACTACGCCTTATTTCATACTCGTATACATTATATTTTCGATATTTGTCCAATATCATAATTTCATATTAAACTTACAAAGAACACAACTGACTGAAACTTCATAAAAATTATGTCTTAAAACAACAAATCTCGTATTCTAATATTGAAGATCTAAATAATTTTTAACCAAACACTTTGTATACCAAACCAAACGTTTTTTGGTCAATTACTAACTTATTTATGTGACTTGACAATATTGTAAGTACTGCCTATGGATTATAAATGATTATTATCAACTCTGGGTTGAATCAAGCATATAAAATAGGGTTTTAAATAGTTTGAGTGGATGAAATTGATAAATTATTGAAGGATGTGTAATTGTCTTTGAAACATCTGCAGTTCCATTAAGCGTGGTGTTGTAAATTACTTAACTCCATACAAAAACACAGGTTATAGTTAAGGTTAAGATGAACTCAGCCTTAATTAATTAACTATGAAATTTTTAAAATTCAATTGGGTCTTTAGACTACAAAATCAAAGTTCTTTACAATACTTGTTAATCGTATGTTTTTGCCCGTTAAGAATGAAGAAAGTGTATAAATCTACAAGTCTAGGGCATAACTAAATTAGTGCCTGAGGATGGGAGCGGCGTGGGAGGGTGTTTTTGTGACTTTTTTTTTAATCCACAACGAGGAAGCTCTTGGCCTGTATCTCACCTGATGGTAAGTGATGATCAGGCCGAAGGTGGAAGCGAGCTTCACCCGCATCCTCAACCACGGAGGAACTGGCTATCTTACCTCTAACTGCCGGAACACAACAATGCTGTTAACATTGTTGTTATGGCGACAGACTTAGGTAAGATGGTGATAGCTAGCCAGGCGTCAAACGTCAGCGAGACTTAGTGTCCGACCGAATATGGATTTTCAGCCGAAAACGAAAACGAAGTTTCGGCTGCAGTCTCATTTTCGGCCGAAAACGAAAACGAAAATGTCCTTCAACTGTCAAATTTCATCTGTTTCTGATCAAATATCCATAATTTTCGATGCTTTTACACTTTTGAATTCTATGGGCTGATTTTTCAATCGTCAGATAACTTCTAACTGAAGAAAGAAATTGTCAATGTGCTGTACTTATTTTTCAGTTAAAAGTAATCCGACAGTTGAAAAATCAGCCCTGGTCTTGTAAACAACTTCGAAAACCGAAATTTATATTTTGATCAAAAACATATTGACGTTTGACAGTTGACGGACGGATTTTGATAAGGATTGATTATGAAAACTGGTATTAGACATTAAAAATTAAAGATATTATTATGAATTCTTAATGGAATATTATTTCCGGTAGGTATATGAATATTGTTTTTTCTGTTTATTTAGGCAAGTGAAAAAGAAATAAACATAAATAAATATCCTTGGACATTTTACACTACGCTTCTAGTTCCAAACTAAGGCCCAGTTTTTTGATTAATAGTTAAAATAACTTACCATCTTATTCACATATTTTTGATATTCGGTTTTGCCGAAGCTTCGGCTGGTTTTTAGCCGAAAACGAAAATATGGCCGAATGCTCATTTTTTGGACGAAAATGGCCGAAAACGAAAACGAATATTTGGTCGGTCACTAGCCAGACTTCATAATGCTCTATCACGTCATCGTCAACCCTCCCGTACCTCGGGCATTGACTCAGTTACGTGCTAGAATCGTATCAGAGGTGGAATTGTGTAAAGCAATCGTTATCATTTGACAGTTCATAACGTACGATTATTCTGTCAAACGCTTTGTTTAACTGACTTTATCGTACGTTATGAACTGTCAAATGATTACGATTGCTTTACACAATTCCACCTCTGACCAGTATAAAATGAAATCACGTTGCCATCCCGTAGTCACAAACTAAAGACTGTCAAAAACAAAACGTCCCACAGATCTGTATATAGTTGTATATAACCGGCTCAGATTGTATATTCGAGAATACAGGTGCAGACATTGTAGCATTTGTATACAAATTATGTATAAATGTATAATGAAATTGTCTGAATTTTAAATATGGTGGCAATTCTTTGCAGAGTAATATTTTAATATTATAAATGGTAACGCTGTACATTTGTCTTGTGTAAACCTATAGATGTTATTTATACTTATTATACATGTTACGGTCAAAGTGATAAATGTGAAAATTATGAATAATCGCCGGTTATTATGAATAATTACCGCATGATTTGGTAAATGTGATTAATATGAGATCATTTATGTGTGTATAAAATTAAATAAGCGGCTTAGGGGTGGCCCAAGGGCCATTCACTTTAAATCAAAACAATATGTTATGGGCTTTAGGGCAAAGTAATGTTACGCAAGAAACAGTCGAAACTCATTATGCCAAATTATATTAATATATGATATCAAAACATTCAAAATGTGTGGCTGTACACAAGCACTATACATACATGAGCCATTGTTCTTTTGTGATATTTCATAGTACTAAGGTTACATTATTAAATAATCACTGATAAATATGTAATTCATTTATTACTTTTACCTCAACTGTCGGTGATTATTCATAATAACCGGCGATTATTCATAATTTTCAATTTATCACATTAACCGTAACATACATACATATTACACACCTTTAACTGCCATTAAGTATAATGTCATACATATTTATTCTCAATATATGGTTGTATGTGTTGTAATGTGTGTATGTATGTGTTACAAAAGAGAGTAAGAAATATACAGATTTTTAGTTTATATAACAGAATAGCCATCATTAAAACAATTTTAACTAAATGAACGTATTTTGTATTATAAAAATGTATAAAGTTAACTTTTTGAAAGCGATTTTTGTGTAGATTGGACATTGTATTTACTGTAATATTTAAACACACTTTATTCTCAAAATATTATGTTCCTGTTATTAGGAATTGATGTTACAGCTTTTACAAAAGAAAATATAATAATTATTAAGTTATCACAGGTATGACCCACAGACCATAGCAAACCTTTGCAATACGAAAGCTCATAGTGAGTACAGTACTTCAATAATAATTATAAAACACCATAATATGGTGTTACTAAGTAATGCCGGTCACAGACACGTATTAATATGTTTGTAAAGATGAACGAGGGCATTGCAAACATTTATGCAAATGTTATGCAATTCCCATTTGTATGGCAGATTTTTGAGAAACCAAAGGTTGAAAGGGTGGGACGTCCACTCACAAGGTGGACCTGATAAAGGTTGCAGGAAGGCGCTGGATGCAGGCCGTTACCAACTGTGCGACGTGGAAGTCATTGGGGGAGGCCTATGTTCAGCAGTGGACGTCCTATGGCTGAAATGATGATGATGAAAGGATGAAAAATTCAATGAAGTGTGTTTCCAAAATGTATGTGTGGGGTCAAATTTTGCAAAACATTT